TAACTCAATTAATTATAAATCAATCCATATTTAGATTTTATTAGTTATTAAAACTAAATCTCTGCCCAAATAATAACAATAAAAGTAAATCTAAAAATAACTTTTAATTTTTTGGTTATCATTATTATTATAAACCCTTTTATAAAATAAAATATCAAATTTCTTTTACAATCAAACATATGACCCAAAAATCAATACCTAATCACTTGTATATCAAATACCTTTCAATAAAAATTAAAATCAAATGAAAAATCCGTAACAAAAAAATGTAAATCAAAACCAAATCAATATTAATCCATTCACTAAAAATTACCATAATACTAAAATATCACTTAATGTTTACCTAATACCCGAATATTATCCCAATAAAATACACGTGACCAATTTCTACCATCACGATAATCTATAAATAATTTAAATACTGCTCTGATTTACATTTGAATGTCAAATAAATATTTGAAATTAAACTAAAAAAGTTTGTTATAAAGTATAACTTATACTTTTTTACTATAGACTTGATTGATGTGACCCTCCGGTACTTTTTTTACCGGTATATAAATAGTAAATACAGCTTTACATTCATAGAAATATTTGCATTTATTTATTTGATGTTTGTTATATAATTTGTTGTGAAAACTCATGTCAATCGCTATTTCGTGGTTTAGAAATTAAATCTCAAAATTTTAATTTAAAACTATATTTAAAACTATTAGAGATTTTGCATGTGATTAACGAAACCAAAGACTAGTAGTTATAAAACTAAAACATTTTAATCATAATTATAATTTTAAACTTTTTGTTTACCTTAATTTGAATTAAAATTAATGACTTATTTTATTTATAATTCAATACTTAATTACATTAAAACACATAAAAGCAGTTAATTATCTCACAATAGATCTAATTATAAATCACTTTTAAATTTCATTACAGAATATATCCTAAAGAGGAGATCCCGGCGAAGAAGTCATACACACAGGACTCGCATACAAGCGCTCAGTCATCCCAACCCTACAGCGATGGTCACAATGAGGATCAATGGCCGCAGCCGTCAGCGCACGAAGACTTTATGTCGGGAACCGATGGTTTGCTCGACAACGACAACTTCTTTAAGCCCTTATTCAACGATGACATAGACTATCAACACGAAAGACATCATTCCTCACGAGACAGACATCGATCTCAAGACAGACATCGTTCTCAAGACAGATATCGACCACAAGAAGACAATAGATATCAATCTCCAGACACAGGGTTTGAACCATTGGACGGCTATTACGTACGAAACACACCTAAACCACGGGATAGACACCACTTTCGACAAGACAATCGACATCCGGATCAACACAGATATCATCAATCGGACAGACATTACCACTCGTCGGATCAGATGATACCGCAGTCTTCGTACGCAACCGAAGACACGTATTATGTAAATAATTTTAACCACGAGTTGATAATTAATAAAAATAATTAATGTATTTTTTAGGAGAGATTACCGCACAATAATCGGTACACAACTGACCACCGAATCAGCTCTAAGACAAACAAAAAATATCGGAGGCCATCACCGGAAGAGATCCGCGATCTCCAGGAATTCTTGGATGCGGTCAACACCGATGAGGATCTAATGATGCTGTCGTCGGCTCCGAAGACAAAGCCCGGTTCAGTTGATAATCACCACAACAGGTCTCCAACAGACAACAGATGGTCACCAATAGGTACGGCAGACAACAGTACCGGCGATGCGCTGGCCATCACTAATCATGAGATGAATGTACAGTCTATGCCCGTTAATAGTGTCAATAATGAGCCTACTGTACCCGTTATAGCGATGACCACCGGTGGTAATGATCACCGGGTGGTCACTACAAGCGCACCCGATACCAAGCAATTTGTAAAACGTGTTAAAGTAGGCGAGATTAGGCTTAAACCGCAACAATTTAGGGCATTTTTAGCTAAACAAGGCCTGGATTTAGCCTGAAATGTGGGTTAAGATTAGGGTTAATTAATTGTATGTTTTTATATCGCAGTATTATCTCTTGTGTTATACTTCGCAAACTTTTATCTAAAATCCATAATTAAAATTTAATAATTAAATTATCGATAAAACAATACAAAAGCAAAAATTTATATTATTTTTAATTAAATGAATTTTAGATTTGGTTTTGCGTTAATCGCACAGAAGTTTGAGTTGTCTTTAAATTAATTTTTATCATGATTTAAATAATGTAATATTTAAAAATTAATTTTATTATTTAATTATCGTTATTACGCGAAATATTTATCAGGTTTTACATCACGATCGGCGAGGATATAGTGTTTTTGAAAAACAGTTTTGTTTTTTACATATTATTACACCATTTGGACTAAAAAATTTTAAAAATGTAATTTTAATTATTGTATTACAAACACTGATATTAATTATTGTATTAATTAATATAATTAAAGTTTTCATTCATTAATAATAATGTTATGACAATTGCATTTGTTTTTAAATTACAATTTATTGGCAAAAATTATGTGCAAATGAATAGGAATTTAAAATATAGTGTATTTTGTATTTTATAAAATACCGGAGAATTTATGTCTTAATTAACATTATTATAATTATTAACATTAATTTTGTTATAAATTTATATATTATGTGTATTTGGCATCGATTTTATCAAATATTAGTAAACTTTAATTGACTTTCTTTATATATTAGTGCATTTATTGTACAATAAAAACACAAATGACTATAAATAATAAATCATAAATCATAGTAAAAATAAATGTAATTAAATTACATTCAAAACACAATTAAAATAATTTAAAAATAAAAACATTTAGACATTAAAAAATAAAATCTCTGATAAAACAAAACATTTTCATAAGACATAAAATGGACACAAAATACACACAAATATTGATATAATCAGAAAAACACATTAAAACTAAACCAAAAAATTAAATAACAATCAATAATGCCTTTAAAAATTGTTGACTAAAAAACCTACAATTAATTATAGGGTTATACAAAACCAAACATATAATACAGTTAAACCTCTATTAAAACAACTTATATATAAGACCGCCTCCGGAGGGGCCGCTGCGGACATTAAACTTAGACAACTTATTCATCTGCGCCTCAAACGTCTGGGACTTATTACTGGGCACTAAACTAACGATACAACCGCCCCAACCGGCGCCGGTAAGCCGGGAGCCAATGGCCCCGTAGGACAGGGCACTGGTCACCAGTTGGTCGAGCTTAGGGTGTGAGCACTCGTACAGATCGCGACACGACTGGTGCGAGTCGTTCATCAATTGTCCCAAACGGTTGATATCGGCGGTGGTTTCGCACACCCGACGGAACTCTTGCACTCGGAAGGCCTCTTCGTAGGCGTGTCGGGCCCTCTGGTAGAGCCGGAACTCGTGGATCGGCTCCGACACCCGCGACAGGAATGTACGCTCCATCTCGTCGTTCTCTATACCTAAAGTAGTATGTATTTTAAGTATGGCTTTTAATGCATATCATTATTAATAAAAATTTATTATTAAATGTTTTAAGTGTTTTATTTTTTGCAATTATTTTTGTGTAAGTTATGGTTTGATAGGAATTTTGTTTTTTAAAGTTTGCTAAACAGATATAAACTTTTGTTTTTGTCTAAAATTTATTCATTACTTTAATGATATGTTTGAAATGAATATAAAATTTATTATATTATGAGTTTTGGTAAATATCATGTAATATATAAAATATTTGCTCAAATATCAAGGTCTAACATAACAAACTCATTATGTTTAGTCTGAATTGGCGTCAAATGTTATTTTTTGCGAAATATAATAATAGCGTATATTTCATAACATAATTCAATGTAAAATGAGTTTATAAATAACATATCGTATTCATAAACACTTAACGGCTTATCACTAAATATTATTAATTATTAAGTTATACGAGATTTAAAATCAATTAATATTTGGTTCAAACACGTCAGGGCTTATCACCAGATGAGAGGGAAAGAGATCCAAGAGATCCGGCTTTGAGATGGTATACCGCATACGATACACATTATCTATACGACTGTATAGTGAACCCTCATATAGTGTACAGATAATAGATAATAATGACCTGAATATTGAATACTAGTTACAGATCCTGAATATCCTGTTATGGCTGTAATTCAACACATCTGTCAAAACAGTTGCTATACTTTTCGGTGTTAACTGTATATTCACTGTTAATTACTCTCTCTCTCTCTCTCTCTCTCTCTCTCTCTCTTTTAGGCAGTTTTATATGAGAAACACAACATTAATGTTCATATTTTAAGTGTAAATCACAGTAACAACTAGTTTTTGATTACATTGTATTTTTTCATCTCTCTCTCTGCAAAAAATCACTTTAAGATGACTTAACAAATAATTGACTTCAAAATAAATACAACTATTAACTGAAAACTCAGTAAAAAATCAATGAATTGAATGTCAATACTAAACACAATGGCATTCAATAAATCAATACTAAATACACTCAATAATGACACAAATGTTTTGCTAAACTAATGGAAAAAATGAAAAATAATACCAAATAATTCATTACAACTTCCCAAACGATAATCACATACGAAATACAATTGCATTTCGCAAACAAATGATTTAATTGCAAAAAATTTTGTTTGTTTAGCAAAAAAAGTTAATTTCACAAAAAAACAGTTAAATCACACGAACAAAAAACCACAACTTCTTAACCACGGGATCAATTAAAACAACGACAATAACATACCTAAAATGGCCACCAACTCAGTCCTGGTGTACGAGTGTTTATCCTGATCAAAAATCTCGGCCAACCGGTCGCCCATTTGGCTGAGGGGTATAGCGCTGGCCTGTTGTACAACCCAGAGCTGATCACCCAATCGATAGCCCGATATATTCAACCGTTTGGCGATCACAGCGGCGGCCAGTCGTGTCTCAGCCACGCGGGTGTTATAGTGAGCTGTGGCCGCTTTATTCATGGATACCCCGCAATGGCTTACGTAAAAGTCCACCCCTTCCGGGAGCCGCACGTTAACGGCGGTCAACTCCGGTATGAATTCAATGTATTTAGCGCTGCCCTCTTCGGCCAACAGAGCGATCGCCTGATCCATACCGCCCGAGTCGGTGCCGATATAGCGCTCGGACTTTATGCACAGTTGTGTGATCTCTAGCTTATTGATGGGAATCGATAGCATATCTAGTGATGGGTGTGAAAGACATCATTAATTACAAAAACATAATAATTAAACACAAAACACTATTCAGTGATAACTACACATAAAAAAATAACATAATATACAGTATATGTAAAAACTTAGCAAACAAAAAAAATACATTGTTTTTCACTTTTTTCATCAGTGATGGAGAAAAAATCTATGAGTCTAATGATTAGGTCTAAAAAGTGGTCAACAAAAACTCACTGGTCTTCTGGTGAAAGGCGATGATTGTGGCGAAAGCGGCGGCACAAACCATGGCCGACGAGCTGGACAGGCCCGAGCCGGCCGGTATCGTGCCGTGAACGGCCACATTGAGGCCCAGGGGTGGCTGACCGTTGCAAAACCTATCGACAATACCGCGATAACCGCACTGGAAATAGTGATACCATTGGGGCGGTTGCGGAAACTCCAGCCCCGTGGGGTCAATAGACTCATCGTGGTAGTTTTCCTGGTCCAGATTGGTCAACTCGATACGGCCGGTGCTGTTCACGGACACAGCCATCACGATGTCCTGTTTGAGCGCCATGGGTAGCACCGAATAGCCCACGTAGTCTATGTGCTCGCCAATGATGTTCACCCTTCCCGGCACTCGCACCAGGAATACCGGTTTGTCGCCAAACTTGTCCTCAAACCGTTTGACCAGCCGTTGGATGCGATCCGTTTGACGCAACTCTTCCGGTATGTATATCACCGGCACGTTCTCGGAGGCCATCGATGACATTATCACGTTTGTGCCAACGATTAGGTGGAGTTGACCCTGCTCGTTTGAGGGCATTATAACAGATTGATTAATTAATTAATTAATTATTAACATTAAATTATGTTTTAATTTTAAATATTGTAATTTTTTTTACTGTAATTTACTGATGAAAATTAATTTTTTGCTATTTTTTTATGAATGTAAATACACTGTGTATTTGAATAGTGATATTCAACGTACACTCGATATCATGGGGTGTAGACGTAAGGATGGGAAAAATACAATGTAATTAAAAACGTTTTGATGCTGTGATTTAGACTTAAAATATGAACATTAATTTGTGTCTCTCATATAAAACTGCCTAAACATACACTCAATTCATGAAAATGTTTGTATCGTTTTATACGAAGGGATGGAAAAGTTTTTATATTTAATACTAAATACAGTATCTAATCAATTGACTTATCATTACATTTTATGTACTGTATTAAACTGCGGGGCACTAACACACTGTACAACCGTTAATAACATTTATGATAATCACATGTACTCTATGGTAAAAGAGCTGAGCTGGCTGAGATTTTTCAAATATGTTTATTCGTGTTTTTCCATACAAGTAGATAATTAGGATAAACATTTAAATTTAACACGTGTCTAATTATCTCTTCCAGTCTCTCTCTCTCTGCAAAAAATCACCTTAAGGTGATTTTTTGCAGAGAGA